GCGCTGGGATCCCCTTCCTCAGCGCACATGTGCCGAGCGGGGCGTTTATGGGTTGGCAGCGTCGGTGCGTTCGCGAGCCCAGCCACGGCGAAAGGCTTGATGCTTCCCAGAAGGATGAGGGGCCGCAGCCAAGCCGTTCCCAAGCAGGCCAGGGGGCTCGCTCTGCTGCCGGGACGGGGGCGCTGAGCCCACGCTGGGGCTGCCAGTGCCACCCTGGTCCCTTCTCCACTGCAATCTCCAGCTGTTAGAGAGGTCTGTGTGGATGTTGTCACCAGGCTGCAGGGTTGTTGTCACCATGTTTCCCGCTGCACGTGGCTGGGTTCTGATGGGGAGGTGATTTTTTTTTGGGGGTGCAAGATGCTGGTCCCTCCTGCAGCAGAGCCTTGGCTCCCTCCCCATGCCCGGCATAGTGAGGGCTGGGCTGAGGTGGAGGCTGTTGGGCGCTGGCACTGCTCGCTGCAGGGCTGGGGCTCTGCACCCTGTTTCTTCTCTCCGTGAGGAAGAAGGGGTGCAGGTGACCCCGCTCCGTGGGAGCTGGGGCAGGGATCTGTGCAGCAAGGGCAGCCTTGCCAAGGCAGAGGAGGACGGGAGCAGGGGGAATCTGGCCTCAGCTGGTTTCCCTGAGCAGGAGAACAGAAATCCGAGGAAACCTCAAGCATCCCATGTGCGGCTCCAGACCCCTATGGTGCCCCTCCTTCTCTGCTCCATGCCGGGGGCTCTGCGCTGGGGGCTCCGCGCCGCCAACGCGGGCTCCCCACACACCTCAGCTCCGCAGGCGGCTGGCGGAGGGGCTGTGCTACTCCCCACCCCCCTTCCCCGCTCTAAAAGCAAATCTTTGTTCTTGTGGAGCTCTGGCTGGCGGACAGCCCGCCGTCAGCCAGATGGAAAAGCACAGGGGCTCTCCTCCCTTCCCTGCTTGCTGGCTGCAGACGTCCTCTCCACATCTCTAGGGCTCCCGCTGGAGCTGTGCCAGGCGCCTGGGGTGCCCGATGCAAGCTGGAGCTCAGCTCTGCATCTGGGCCGCTCCACGCGTGGCCAACGGGTCTCCAGCCCTGCCTGGGTTCCCTCAACAAACCGCAGTCTGCGGCCACGCTGGGTGCAAGGGAGGATTGCCATGTCCCCAGAGCCTGCTCTGCCAGGGTGCCCAGTGCCCCTCTAGCCTGCCCACGCGCCTGGCAGGCCGTGGGCTGTCGGAGGAAGCCTCGTGTCCCCAGCGTTGAGGGAGCCCTTTGTGTCCCTCAGCTAGCCGCGCTTGTCCATGGGTACTCCTTCCAGCACGGAGGAGGGTATCCAGCCTGCCCCAGAGGAGGTGGGGGGCAGTGAGCCCTTGTTCCAGGCAGGGTGAGGGCTGCAGCGTCCGTGTCCACCTCCTCAAGGGCAGTGGATGGGTGGGAGGGATGTGTGCCTCATGCCAGCCTCAGATGCCAGCCATTCTCCAGCTCTGAGCTCATGGTTTCGGCTGCTTCAGCTGCCTGTTTGAGGGCTCTCATGCCGAGCGGGTCAGCGGGGCGGGCTGGAGCTTTCCCTCTCCCAGAGGCTGGCTCTGCCTGGGGCCCATGCCGAAGGTCTGAAAATGCTGGGGAAGGGGGCAAAGCCTAGCCTGGCTGCCTGCAGCACAGAAGCATCAGAGCTCAGGAGAGGGTGCAGGGGGCAGGTGGGGGGCACCTCAGCCCCAGGCTTGTCCAAGTCTGTGGGCACCCAGCTGCGCCAGGCAGCCAAGTCATGGCTGTACCAGTGGGCAGGTGCCTCTGGTGCAAAGTTGTCTTTTCCTATGTAACCCTGTCCAGTTTCCTGAGCCCGGTGCGTGCTTATCTCGGGCTTTCACCTGTTTTTCTAACACCTCCTTTCCTGTGCTCATCCCTCTTGCCTTAGTGTCAACTGTACTGTGTCGATGGGACTGGCTCTTGGGGTGTCCTGAGGTGTCTAGTCCTGTGAGCCGGGGCCTTTGCTGTGGCCGAAGGGTTCGTGGCTGCATTTTAGGGCTGTGCCGCCTCACACGCGCTCCAGACAAAGAGTATTTTATGAGCGCGTCGTTGCCCTTTGAAGCTGCCTCACTTGCGAGGCTCTGAGGCTGTTACCGAGGGGCGCTATCGAGGGAGCTGTTGACACAGCTGGCTTCCTCCAGCCTCGTGTCCGCAACTCCCTTACCTGGGCTGGGCCGTGGGTGCTGAGCCCGCTGGTCCCGTTGCTGGGTGACAGACTGCTGTGCCCTCCCGCCGGGCGGTGG